AAGAACAAGTGAGATAAAATCTGAACACATCATCACCTGCGGGCTGATCCCTGAGGCGCTTAGGGTTTTCGCCGGCGGCGGCCAGCTGGCGCTCGCGGCGCTTGGCGGCGGGGACCCACGTGCTCTTGACGTGGGTGGGGCAGGGGAAGCCGCGGCTCTTGCAGCATGTCCGGCAGCGCATGTGGACGCAGTCCTTCTTGGCCTGGTTCCCGCAGTCCTGACAGCTGCCCGACCCGTCGTCCGCCCCGCCGACCCGAAACCCTAACCCGCCCGATCCGGATGGGTTGGCGCTGTTAGTGGCGACGGAGAAGGGCGGGAGCTTCTGCTGCTGCTGATGATGAAATTGGTAGCCGTGCTGCCATAGCTCGAAGCCCTTGCTGTAGATCTCCTCGTTTTTGGACAGGAATTGGCTGTAGTTTGGTTCTTGTTGATCTTGCTCGTGCTGGGTTTTGCCGCCTAGAGAGAAAAAACCAGACATTTCGAGTCCATTGAAAACAAGAAACAAACAGTGTGTGATATTTTGGGGGGTTTGTTCAGGCCGGTTGCAGCTTTTCTGTCTCGAGATTTAGGAATTTTTTTTTTTTTAGGTTAAATTAAAGAATGGGGAATTGGGATTTGGGAGTAGAGAGAGAGAGGAAGAGGGGTGTGGGAATTACTGGACTGGAGCTGACAGGGCGGAGAGGGTAGTGAATTGAATTGAATTGAATGGTTTTAATTTGTTTGTGGATGAATTTTTGGGGGATCGCATTAATTAAAGGCGCGGCTCTGTGAACGCCGCCATCACCCACTGCAAAACAACTCAGCCTGCAACCTCAATTTAAGACCCCACAGTTAAATACTATATCTCTCTCTCTCTCTCTCTCTCTCTCCACTTTCTCTCTCACGCACCACAACACACCTTGTGGTTAGTAGTCAGTGTAACTATTAACTAGGGTTATATGCTCATTTGGTCATATTTTGTTTTTCCTTTTTCTTGTCTCTGGTTTACTAATTAATTATTACTTATCCACTAATCACATCACTCATCTTTCCTCTCAATGTAATGATGTCATCATTATAACCTAATTGTTTGATCGTCGTATTAAAATATTTTCTTCAGTATTTCATCATTGTTCGTTTATTATACATACATACATACAAGTCTTATTAAAAATCAAAAGTAATAAGTTTTGTTTTGTATTGAACGGAATGTGCAATACGCATCAACTAATTTGAGTTTTCATTTTAAATAATATGAAAAAAAATTAGACTTATTTTTATATAAAATAAAATGTAAACTCTAAAACTAAAATACAAATTACATAATTAATTTGTTCAAACTTGATTTATAAAACATATAAAATTAGTATATATTTGCAATAAAATTTTAAAATACCAACAACAAAATTGAGACTATTAAACCTTTTTAAAAAAAAAATAAAAATAAAACACCCAGAAGGGAGGGGGTTAGACGTAACCCCCAACCTGTGTATAGAAAGACCCTAAAATAGGCTGAAAAGTCACAAGACTACATGTCCAATGTTCGATATATATCAATTCAAACAAAATAAAAAACAAGAAAAGAAACAAAAAAAAAGCTAGCAATAACAGCCAGTAACACAAAGATAATAGCTCCTGGTCCGGGAAGAGTCCAGGCGAGAAGTTAGCGTCACGGGAGAGCAAATGCACCAATGGGAGGATCAGCTACACAAATCTGAATGAAGGGTATCCCATCTGGTCCATCCGTATAAGCGTGCGGAGGCGTAGAGGAATATCGTCAGGATAAAGTATGCGCCTCTGGGGGTGGAGGACCCGATGTTAGCTTGGAGGTCAGCAGGTCGGTTCTCCTCGCAGAAGATGTTCGAGATCCGAAAGCGAATCGACCGAAGTGTGGCTCTAATACGCAGGAGAGGATGCTGAATCTGCCACGTGCCCTGATGGCCAGAGGTCAAGAAAGTGATGACAGCGGCAGCGTCCAACTCTATCGAAATGTGAGAAGAGATCGAGGCAGCAATCTGAAGACCGATCAGGAGTGCCTGAACCTCTGCGTCGTAGCTCGAGTAGGCCCGAAGAGGGGCATGGAAAGCGGTAATAAGAGCACCGCTATGGTCCCTAATCAGACCCCACCTCCGGCGGCTCTGGTAAGTCGGTCAAAGGATCCATCAGTGTTTAGCTTAACCCAAGGAGGCTCGGGTCTCAGCCAAATCACAGCTCTGGGGCGTGGATATTGGACATACGGCAGTGGATGTGATGCAAAACGATGAGGTGGCGTGCAGCCTGTCCAGTCTCTCGGCGTGAGTCTGCCTAGAGCAGTAAGGAGAGATAGATGTTTGTCAACTTGCAAAATAATATGGGAACACAAAAATCTAATATCCCTATGCTTCACATTATGTCTTTCTGCCCATGTGGACCAAAGGATCAGATAATGAATATGGAAGCCCACGTGTCTATCGTGTGTGCGCTGTGTGAAAAAACTCAGAAGCTCAAGAAGTTATCTATGGTGGGTAGGGGTATATGTGTATAACTGGAATAATGCTCCCACACTCTCATCACAGTCTCGCTCTCAAGAAACAAATGGCTAAAGGTCTCAGTCTGAAAAACGACAGTCTCAGCACAATAATAGCAACGTGAGGGGAAGGAGAACCGCCTCGCCTGCATCACAGTATCAATCGGTAGGCGGCGCAGAAGAAGGCACCAAAGGAAAACAGAGATGGTCGGGGTAAGTAGGTCGGTCCAGATGGCCCCGAAGAGAAGGTTAGGCCGGTTACCAAGCCGTACTTCCCCCCAACCCGAGGTCCCAAAGATGTAAGTCTCCACCTCATACCGTCCAAATTGTCCTCTGAGATGGGTATATGCTGTATCTGATCTATCACCTGGTCACTAAAACCTGCTCCAGTACCTAAAATCCTCTCTAACCTATCCCTATCCCATCCTCCATCCATCCAGAGGTCCTTCACCTGCAAAAAGAGAACCACCTCAGAGGTCCTTCCTCTGAGGTGGGTGACTTGTCTTGTACTCGAAAGGGAACCCTCACCAAACCACCACTCATTCTAAAAACTATTGTCCCCCTCACCAAGAGTCCAGAAAACAAGGTGAGCCGTCTCCAATGCCTGCTATCGCGAGCGGTGACCGTCACTCTACAGGGGTGGGCAGTGCCTCCAGGACAGTAATTCCAACGAAGATACTGAGCTCAAAGTGACTTACCCTCCCTAAAGCTCCACCACATCTTATAAGAAAATGCAGTGACGACGTTTGAAAAGCCCTAGATCCCGAGGCCCCCCTCGGAGAAGGGCAGAAAACAGAGTCCCACTTCACCTAGTGGACCTGTCTCTCTATCCGGGAACCCTCCACATGCCCCCAAAAATAATGAGCCAAGGTCTGATCCAGCTCGTGAATTATAGACTGGTGGGAATCGCAGACTGTAAGAAGGTGAAGCGGAAGGGCGCTGAGGGTGCTCTTGATCAGAGCAATCCTCCCCCCAAAAGATAGGTGTATGTGAGACCAACTGGAGATCCAGTCAATCATCTTCTGCATGACGTCTATAAAAAGGTCATGCGAGAGATGACCCTTGTACAGGGGGGAACCAAAGTAGGTGATAGGGAGTTCTCCATGTTCAAAACCAGTGCGCTCATGGACCACATAGGTCCACTGGTCCGCAATGTGATGATCAAGGGTGAAAGTGTTCCTTTGCACACTGACAAGTCGACCGGAAACTAAGCTATAGTTCCCCAAGAAACACATAAGCTCTACCAGTCCCTTATTATCCACACGAGTGAACATAATAATGTCATCCGTATAAGAAAGGTGTGAGAGGGGCCCATATCCACATGTGTTATAGGTCATCCTTGAGAAGTCGCGAATGAAGCCGTTAAGGCAACGAGACAGGTAGTCCGCCGCCAGGATAAAAAAAGAGGGGGATAAGGGATCCCCCTGCCGAAGACAGCGGGTGGAAGGGAAGAAGTCAGTGGGGCTACCGTTAACTAGAACCGAGAATGTGCAGTGCTCCACGCACGCCTCCACAAAACTAATCCAACGCTCAGGGAAGCCCATTCGGAACAGAACCTCCCTGAGAAACAGTCACTCGACCCTATCATATGCCTTAACCATATCTAGCTTCAGTACAAGGTTAGGGGCTCATAACCAATTCGCATGGGAGATGTCATGGATCTTCTCCTGGGCCTAAAGGATGTTATCCCTAATGACTCGATCCTTGATGAAACCACTCTAGTTCAGAGAGACGAGGGAAGGGAGAAGAGGGGCTACGCGGCCATTAAGGATGTATAAGCGGACCAAGAGCTCAGGCCAGGTCTCTTGGGTATCAAGACAATAGAGGTTACTTTGAAGGACTCCGACATATGGTGACCCGAGCAAAAATTCACCACAATCCCTCAACGTCAGTCTCAACAATCTCCTAGCAAGCCTGATAGAACAGAGATGAGTAGCCATCCAGGCCAGAAACACTGTTGGTATCAATCCCAAAAATAGCCTCCCTGACCTCCTCCCTACTCGGGAGGTTGCAAAGATCAGCAGGGTTGACCGACTGCAGGATGGGGGGGAAAAAGGAAGTGTTAGGGGCATAAGCAAATGCCGACATGAGGTGAAGTGGGACTGAAGTGTGCCACAACCGACTCCCGTATCTGGGACTCCTGAGTCATGGATTATCCACGATATAATGGATATACGACTTAACCCGCTTCTGCCTTACAAACCCCTGAAAGTACTTGGTATTACGTTCTCCCTCAGCAACCCAGCGCACAGCAGCCTTCTGCTTCTAGAAATCCTCCTCCATAAGGAGACGAAGCTGGTACTCAGCGTGACAGCGGTGCATCGTGGTCTTATTCTCTGGAGATGAGCCTAGGTCATAAGCTCGCTCAGCATCCGCATACGCTTTCTGAGCTGCAGCAAGGCACTGAAAAAGGTCTCAAACAGTCCAATTCCACTGCTTCAGACTGCGCCGCAATCATCCGAACATAGCTTCCAAGTTACGCATCCCAAAGAGCCTAGTAGGTTGCTGCCAGGAAGCTCTGACCGTATCCTGGAACGTGTGGTGGTGGATCCACATGTTCTGGAACCGAAAAGAGGAGTGACAAAGGGTGTTTGAAAATCGGCACCAGATAAAAAGGAGAGCGTGATCGGATTTAATTCGAGGGAGGTGTATGACGGTCGTGGCCGCAAACACCCTTGTCCATGCTTCAGAGACTAAAGCGCGGTCTCTTCTTGACACTTGCCCTCTCCCAGGTGAATGGTGAACCTTCGTATCCAGCATCAATTAACTCACAATCCGCCAATGCCTGAGAAAAATCTAAGATCTCCGTGGAACGGTCCGAATGGCCACCAACGCGCTAATCGGGATGAAGAAAAATGTTAAAATCACCGCTAACCATCCACGGTGATCCCTCCATGCTTTCAACAATCTCATGCATGGTGTCCCACAGATCATAACGACCAACCCTCGCACAACTAGCATAAACCAGGGTGTGGAAGATTGGTTCTGGTAGAAGGGCAGCAGAGAGCTCAACGTGCAGGACCTGTTCGGTATCAGGGATGACCCGATAAGTAAAGTCACGCCAGTGAACAAACCAGATCTTATTAGAGATGTTTCCCACGCCAGAGTGGAAACCTAGGCGGTGAGAGTAAAAGTCAAAAGAGGGGTTACTGGTCATGGGCTCTAGGAAGGCATCAAAGTCAAGTCTATAGTCACGAA